TAGACTTCCCAGTGAGGTGGTTGAGTCACCACCTTGAATGTGTTTAAAGACCATTTGGATCTGGTTCTCAGGGACATGATTTAGTGATGGGTTATTACAGTTAGGGTAGTATGATTAGGTTGTGATTGGACTTGATGATGTTTAAGATCTTTTCCAACCTGAGCAATTCTATGGCTTTGTAATGTCTCACATAATACTGACAGTGTGAGAATATGTCATAAAAGCTCTGACAATTCAATGACACAGTAATGTCATTGTTTGTTTGGACAGTACTATAACCAATACCCTTAAGTATGCTTGAGAATAATGAAGGGTAAATGAAAGAATTATGAAACTTTCCTCTTTTCTTGTTTTCATCAATATTGCAGCCTAAGATACCATGCCCTGATACAGCCTCAGCTATATATATATATCTAAGTTTTGTCTTCATTTGTAATAACACTCTCATATTTGACAGAAACTCTCAGTTGTATGCTGATCTACAGCTGAGTAAGACTTCAGCACAGCAGGGCTACAAGATTTCATCTGCACAGCTTAAACTTTCATCTTGCTACGCTCACCTTGAATGATAACTTACTTATCCTTAAGAAATCAGACATTTGACTTCAGTATGTATTCAAAAAGGACCTTCTTGACAGTATTGTAAACCAAAAGAAAATTATTGCATCCTAGAAGCTACTTTAGCCTGTCACTTTTCTAGAGCTCTTCTCACCTTTACTTTTCTCACCTCTTCTTACCTCTTCTCACCTCTTACCAGGGTCTCCCAGTTTTGCATAGCCAATGTTTGAAGTGTTAGAAAAGAGATTACCTACTAGAAACAAGTGTAAACAACAGGGGTGAAGAACTTCCCATACATGAGGAATGTAGTAGAGGAGTAACTTATATACTGTTAAAAGGATGATATCTCCTTTACTGCTACTCCTCTTCAGCATTATCACTCTCTTCCTATTATCTAGGAGCCACAAAAAACTTATCAGTTCATATCATCTGCCCTATACAGTCCCTTTAGACACATTCTGGTTCTGAATGAGTACTCTCAGCACAATGCATCACAAATGGAAGATTAGAAGATGCCAAAAATGAACATCTGCAGCTTTGACTACTGATAAAACTGTTTTGTAGGAGCAATAAAAAAATACAGTATCCTACCTTTTCCCTAGATCTCCTGTAGAAAAATTACCTTTGAATCTAAAATACGAAATAAAAAGTACCTGCACTACTCCACTATGTCTGATCTGAAACTCTCTGGAAACCTACTGTCATGTGAAGATAAACTGCCTTGTTTGTCATAAGCTAAAAGTTTTTTTTGATCAAAAAAATATTCAAAGCCAAAACAAAACAAAAAACAAACAAACAAAAAAAAAAAAAAGGAGATAAACTTATATTCCTTAGAGTATTCTCCCCTGTTATTCTTCCATTTTTCCATTGCCTTAATCCAAGTCTGATTAAGTAACTGGATAATCACCTTCTCATCTCTGTATATTTGAGCAGAAAAAATAGAAGAATACATCACAAGGTGTATTCTCATACTCTCTGAAATTGTGTGTTCATCTTGCAGAAGAATTCAGCATCTGCAAAGAACAAGCCTATTCTATTGCTACAGATAAAAACAGAACTTGAAAACACTTCTGACAGAGGGAGAGTATTTCTGACTTTGAGGCTGTATGTGAGGATGTCTAAAGTTACATTTAAACTTCAGATGTGCTGCATCAGAAAAGTCATGTCCTATGAAGATATTGCTTTTTCTTTCTAAAGTTTTTCAATTAAAGTCAAATTGACTGAAAATCATTTTTCAGATAAATCTTAAGATAGTTTAAGTTTAATGTTGTTCTTCAGGTTCTTGACAGAGCTTTAAACTACCATGAAAACTATTTCCAGTTTCCACCCAGAATAGAAAATTATCTTAAAGAATTTAAACTAAATGCTTTGCTGCTTAAGTACACATTCATAAGAGCAGTAGTTAATTTAATGCCAAAATATCTAGGTTTTATTCTGTTTTATTTAAAGTCTCTCCCTCAGATATATCCTCTATACAGCTCTTTCTTATCGGAACAAATTATGCATTAACAGTTTTTCAAGCGTCATAAAAAAATGAAATTATTAGAAAAGTTTTCTTCTGCTTTAAGTTTTGTTTATAATAAATTCAACTATGCTTGAATTTATTATACCAGTAAAGGTCTCAGCACAGTCCCTGTAAAACCAGATACATATTTGTAAGATATTTTCTTTTTCCAAAGTGGAACAGCAAATAACTGTATCAATACAAAGCAGTCCTTGAACTTAAAACCAAGCAAAAATAAAACTGTATAATATTCTAGCACAGAAAAGATTTGATTTCCACTGCCTTTCAGTGAGTATGTATTGAACACTATTTGACCAGTTCTCTGGAATCTACTTTTTGTGTATGCAGAAAACAGTAAGTGTTAGTAGATTATAATGTTCTCAGATATTTAATGCCATGTATTTGTAGAAAAGCTCAGGATCTATGTGCCTAACAGAAATAGGTTTTACTCCTGAAGAGTTGGTTTCCAATCTAAATTTTTCTTCTAAAAAGCAAAACTAAACAAGAAACAACCTACATTCCATCTCATCTCTGAATTTATCTAGAAGAAAAAAAAAAAAAAAAATCAGGATCGTATTTTCAGTTACCACTTACTGTTCCAGATGTTTTTCATAAACTATAATCATGTAAGGGTGACATTAATATAGTTTATTTCATTTTAAATATTTGTTTTTTGTCAGCTTGGCCAGGACATCGTATTATCTATGGCAATGGAACTGTCATGTTATTATTAAATGACTTACGCCTGGAATTCCTTCCTTTTCTTTTTGGGCTATTTATTAATATATGCCCCAATATCTGTTCTCTTCAAGGGCAGTACAGACATAGAACAACTTTTACAGCTGAGACTGAAATATGAGATTGAATTTAGACCTTCAGCCAGCGAGAGGGTTGCTCCAGGTCAGGTCAGAATTAGATCTGAAGCTTTTATAGTAAGTCAGAATATTTATCTTTAAAAATAGAAGACTTTGACTGGACATGCCTCAAATAAGCTATATTTTAGTCACAAGACGCTAAGGAATTTCTTCTTTTCTACTTATTAAAGACTTTTCAAATCCAAGTCTACCTTTAGCAATTATAAGCCAAGAGAAAAGAAAAATAAGTAGTGTAGGATTAGAGTTAGAAAAAACTATTTGTACCAAATAAAATCTTTAAAATTACTTTAAAATATTTCATTTGTAATGACCATATTTGGATAATTTTGTTTTCCTTAACAAAAAGCTCACATTTTTTGTTCATCAGAATTCTTTTTGACACTTATATTCTTAGGTTCATGAAAGGCAAGGCATCTGTTTTCATTTCTTATCCTAATCCTATCTATCCACTATCTACTGACATGTCTGTCAATCCTAAAAGTAAGTTATTCATTTTTAGCTCTCCAGTAGAGAAGACAGTGAAGTCGTCTTGAAGAGCCCTATATAAAGGTCAGAGCAGTGTTTTATCCCATTTTCTTATGGTGTAGATACAGTTATTTCATTACTTTTTTCACCCATCAAGGTGAATTATCTTTCTACTTCGACCATGTCTCCTCAATTGTCTTTCAGGAGTGTTAGAGAGGATATTAAAAAATTATGGTGATATCTGCTGTGACTGAAAAAAACACAGGTTCAGCACTGTCACAGATAGAAACAGGATTAGCCTCACAGCACTTTTTTCACCCTATCCACACAGCCTTAAATAGCTATTCTTTATACCTTCTCCTGCCCAGGCAAGAGCATCTCAGTGATTTAATCACGTCTTTGATCATTTTCAGAGAATAATAGCAAGATGACTGAGCTTTTAAGTTATATTGAATGATCATTCCTCATCTGCATACTTTCTAATGTTAAATGCCACTGCTGACATACTTCATACGCTGGCATATTTTGATAACTACCAAAACTTTGGTAGTTACATGCTGGGGATAAGCAATATAATCTTCTCTCCTACATGGAATTATTATACTTATGACTGGCTCCTTATGCACATAGACACATGCACAGATGTTAATCTAATTATTACCAGAAATGAAGAATAATAGGGAATTGGAGTGAATACAATATTTCTTGCACAGAAATTTATCAAAGACTAGCAGTTAAAGGAAAAGAAACTACATCTATGTCAAAGAGATTAAAATTCATTAAACTATACTCACAAAACTTGTACACAACTTGTAGAGGTCTCTGAGCTTGGCTAAATACTCCAGAGCTTTACTTGACAAAGCAGTAAATGTTCTCATGCAACTTGAAGAGGACTAGATTTAGCATTGGAGACAATCTACTGAATTAATGAGTCTATGTATATGTAAAGACACTATAAAATGTTTGCAATAAAATTTAAAATGCACAGTTCCATCTTTCTTTGTTTTCATAAAACATGCTATTTCCTTGAAGAACATACTTTTTTCCACTAATTATCTTATGTCAATTCTTTCCCCTGAAAATTAGTGAAATCTTCCCTTCTGATTTTGGAGCTTTGATTTTGTCTACCTACCATAAAAGTCAGAGAATATATCACAAAAATCTGACCGGAAAAAATGTTGCTCTTCCACTATCCCATCCTTCATTCAACATTCAGCTGAATAGAGAATTGGTTTCTGCAAGTGCATGGCTTATTACTAGACAACAAATGAATTGCAAATGTTTCATGGTCTGTGTTCTAAACCAGCTGAAACTGTCCACAGCTTCAGTAAAGTCTAGTCCAACAAAATTATGTTAAAAATCTGTTGTAATTATTTGCAAGGATGAATTGCTATTACTGGTTGTAATTTTGTGCAGACAAAACTCTGTCTTCTGAGCAGGAAAGCATTTCCACTAAGTTTGAAACTAAGAATGAAAGTTCTATCTTGAAAAATAGACATGTCTTAGACAAACTTGTTACACAAGGAGAAGGTCATTTTATTGTATAAATATTTTCTAGAGGTATCAGTAGTAATTGTCACTCACAGAGATGGTCGGTCAAATATTCACAGGAACTTCGCAGTAATCTTCAACTCTGTAAACTTGTCAAATTTTCAGGGGGTTGGCTCCTGAATTCAGATTTGCCTGTGGCATACACTGATTTCTTCCTGAAAGAAATTAAAGAATGTTAAATGTTAAACAAATTGTGCCATTGATAAGACTTTGTTATTCATCTTAAGCACTGCAAATTGTCATTTTTTTCTAATTGAAAGTTAATTAGTTTTTAAAGAAAAAGCATCATTGATTGTTTCCACCATCAGTTTCTAAATATATATCACCAGCTTTCAGAGACCACATTGGAAAATTTGTTTTAAAATTTAATTTTTAATTTTTGATTTTAAGAATTGAAAATATTAGTTAACCCAGAAATTCTCAGAGAAGTCTCTTTCCAACCACAAAATAATATGAATGTAAATTTTTATTAATAATTATGTGCATCTAGATTCTCTTGCATATTGTCATTGAGAAATAACTCCTAATCTTAATATTTATATTTCACAATAAAATATTACAATTCCAGAGAAATCCCCCATTCCATTAGAATCCAAATTGTTTTGTTATAAATCATCAGTTCTTCAAATAAATGAGTGCTAGAATAGAAAATATATAGTCCTGTAGGTCCAAATAACGTGTTCTAAAAGTCTTTGAAAGACTATTTTAGAAAGTAAATGATGACAGACTTGTAATAGAAAACTGCATATGGTGAAATGTGTAATAGTTTACACTAAGAAAACTCGTTTGCCTGAAAACAGTTAGGATAGAGACTGCACAGAAAACAATGCTGTGGCAAACAACATGGTTTGTGTTTCCTTAATAATGGAAACAAGTACCTGTTCTTATAATCACTTCATTGAAAACCTCTCTTTAAAGTAGTATCTTCATATTTGTCAGGAGATCCACTTGGTAGAGCAAGTATGTGTACTTTCAAATATCAAAAGAATTTGATAAACACAGTTATTCTGTTAGTTTACAGTATCAAAATAATTGTGCGCTAACTTCAGAGAGAGGATTCTTTGCATTCAATAATATAATATATAATTATAAATATATAATATTATATATTATATTATAATAAATTCTACCCAAGAGACATCATTGATGAGGCTACTCTTTCATGTTGATGCATTTTTCCCATGGACCCCTTTCTGCCTGAAATGGCCATTTAATAAATAGGTAAAAAAGCAAGAAAAAAAGACAAGAATTTTTTAAGAAAGTGATAGATGATACAAAGAAAACTGCTTTACCTTGTTTCTGAATACATTTATATTGCAAAAAGACTTTTTTGTTTGTTTGTTTTGTTTGTTTTTTGTATTGTTTTTGTGAGGTTATTTACATGCTTACCCTAAACCAATATCATCATGCAGTTAAATAACATAGTTATTAACAACAAAGGACTGGGTAGCAAACCTATATAAACTCTGACTTAAGGAACTATAGAGGTTTTAAAAAATATATGCAATTTTTCAGTGTACAAGCTACTGTTCTAAATTTGCTGACATTTTCCTTTAAACATCAGAGTCTGGAAAACTTCACCATTTACTTACCATTTAGGTGAGTAAACTAAACTCCTTTTTGATACAAACAAATGTAAATACTTCTATCATTGAGGGTGCAAAAGTAACACTTTCTTTATCCAATGAAAACAGTTTGGCTTCTGGATACTGTGTTATCTTTAACCACAAGCTGTGCCCACTATAAAACCAAGTTTATAAAACAAGAAGGACATTCTCATCCCCCGCCTCACCCAAATGCACTTTAAAAAAAACCAACAACAAAACTTTCTTACTTTTTGTATACCATGAAACAAATGTCTTATACAGATTTCTGGAAGTGCGATTTATTTTTTTAAGTGTTTTAAGACAGTAGACATGACAAAAGAAATAACACGTGCTTGGAAATGTTACTTTTACAAAGGTAATACTTGAATTTCTTAGCAATTCTATCCTTTATGAGCAGACTAACAAAGAGAACCCTTCTTCCTGCTTCCCATGGAAACAGAATTCCAGTTTGGAGATATTTGGTCAACTATTTTCTCAGTTCATTCCCTCTCAGAGTCAGGCTGCTATGTTTCCACTACAGTATCCTCCCTCAAGTTGTTCTGCTTCCCACACTGACTGAGGAAAGCAGGATTATATTCTGCTGTCAGTACAACAGCAGATGGCTTGTTAAAAAGTCATACAGCTATGTTTCCAATTTTATTGGTCATATAAAACTTTCTGCTCAGTAACAATTTCACACTTATTAATAGCCCCACTGATGCTATTCTACAGCCCAAAAGTTAGGTACACTTTATAATATGATTTAAATCCAAGACAAATATTCAAAACAACCAAGTCTGTCACACAACTACAATGAATTAATAAACACACTAGACCTCTCCATTTTTAAGTAAATTCTCCTTCTCTTATCTGAAACTTTAAATTATTTTCAAGGCAAAAACATTTTATAAAAAATTATACACCTGAATGATAAAAACACCAATTAATAAGTAATAATTAAAAAAATTAAAAAGAAGACAGTTCACTTTCTCTCTCATCTAATAATTACAGAGTTTTGACTGTATGCTATTTACTTTCTTTTTATGTCATACAAGTGACAAAAGACTTGTAGGCAAAATGATTAGACAGACAGAGATGGATCTGCAGTTGGTCTCATGTTGTTTTCCCACATCAAGTGGAGCAGAAGACTAAGAATCACTTTCAGTGGCAGTGGTGTCACAGATGGCTGTAGCTCAAAAAAGCATCTTGTGTTACTAATCCATCCCATCAGAGCACTCTAAGCCAAACTTCTCATTCAGTTCACTCTCTTAACTTGCAACACTTTATAGAACTGTTAGCAAACTTGAAGATATGAAAAAATCTAGAGACAGAAGAAAGATTTTGAAATAGATATCATTAAGTCAAAATGAAGAAGAAAGTAAAAGTGCCTGTAGCATCCAGGAGACATCTTACTTCCCCAGTTCATGACTGTAAAACTGACCATCAGGATTTCTGAGACATTATATAACAGAAAAAAAAAACAACTCTACATTTCAGAAAACACATTATCTGTAGTGGTGAGCAACTACAACTTTAAATACTAGTGGGAAATAAAGATTATTTGGGAGAAAAAAAAAAAAAAAGGTATGCCACAGTTTGCTTCCACTTTTTATCTTTAAGATTTTGCCACACCCTTTGGAGTAGTCTTTGCCTGTGTAAGATCTCCTGCATTTTAGACTGGATCACAAATCACTCTGCATTCAAAACAAAACAAAACAAAACAAACAAAAAAAAAAAACCAAAAAAAAAAAAACCAAAAAAAAAAAAAAACCAAAAAAAAACAAACAACCAAACCAGAAACGAATGTCTTTGGGGAATAGCCTTTCAAGTTTTATTTATGCCAACGTGTCTCCAAATAACTTCTGTAGCAGCCAAGCATCATACTTGCTGTCAGATACACTTCTAGCTGCGTTCGTTTATTTTGTGGTGTAACACTGCTAAGGTAAGCAAGAAAAGTTACAGTCAAGTGCCACACATTCTCTAAATCTTCAAGTAAGAAATCTATCAGCAGCTTCTGAGCTTTAACAAACCTCGGTAACAAGCATACTTGACTTCATCATAGCTGGAGGGTATCCAAGACAACACAAACTGAGCAAAAGACTGTCTTTCATTAATTGGAAACAATAGATAAAGCAGTTCTGGGTTATTGTTCTACTACCATACTAGTTCTCCTGTTCAGATACAGTTTTGTTGCCTTATCTTCTCTACTTGAGTCTGATATTGCTTTTTCTCTATTACATGATGTTTTAACTCTACACTCAGTTTGGAGAAGGGATGGCCTTTATTACATCATCTGCCATAGTTGTAATGGATACATTGCTAATATAGCTATCCATACATGCTTTTATCTTCACAAATGGCTCTTGGAGAACTCCATAGATCTGTGCACAAATGATTACACAAGAAATTTTACACAACATTCACTGATCTTTCAATCAACTACCCAGTACTTCAAAAATAACACAATAAATTTCATACCTGTTCAGTGTACTGCTGTATCTTCTGGACTGCAGCCAAACAGACAAGACTATTAACAAGGCAGTACTTTTAAATGTAGTCTGTAGTGATACGATAAGACAAATCACTTACTATTTGAAAATGTTTATCATTAATCAGAAGTGCAAGAAATTCCATTTGAAAGGAGAGAAAGGACATGCTGCCACATTGCCACATCCCAAGACAGGTACCAGAGTAAGCTGTACCTGGTAACAGTTACACCCAGAAATAAATGCCTCTCTCCTGTGGAAATGCAATAAGCATAGGGTAATTTAGTCTGAACTTAGATGCCTTAATAATGTGCATAAATTCGGGTATAAGGTCTGAGACTTAGGTATAAGGTCTTTGTTCATAACTGTGTCCAGAATTGTTAAAAATGTGCAGAAACAGCAGCAAGCATGGTTCTGCAATCTCTCTTCTCTTAATGGATTTTAGGTTAAATTATGTAGAGAAATAAACAATCGTGCACACTTTTACCCTTATTTTGGAAGGACATTTCCAGTTGATGTAGTGAATTTTGATTCTGATTATACCATCTCATTTTGAGATACAAAAAGTAACAACATTATTATGCTAAGCAACACGCTCCTTTAAATGTGATATTATATTTCATCAGTGGAGTTGCTTTTGCTGTCAGTACCTCATCTCTAGTTCTAAATCTAACTGTCAATGAAACCATTGAATTTCCTTTGGATAGGCAACTGAGGAACTGAAACTGTTCAAGAAAGACTTTCAGAAACAGCATGAATTGAGACCACATATGCAATTTTAAGGCTTTTTTCTTTTGGATTATTTTCTAAAAGTAAAGAAAATAACCTGCAACCTACATTGAACATCTGCATGCAAATTTTCTGTGAATAAACTGGAATTGTACAGAAACTATCTGCATAATCCTGTGAGATTCAGTATTGACCAATTACTCCCAGTAAAGTAGCGTTCCTTGGGAAAGTATCACAGTGAAGACTACACAGATAGTGATTTTACATTTAAAGATAGATGAAAAACATTCAAGCCAGTTAAAAGCTTTCAATAAAAAAATCAAAAAAGGAGGAATGAACTCATCCAATCT